ACCTCGCCTCCGCGCACACCCCCAGCCTCACCACTCTCAACAACACAGAATGTGCCACCTCCCAACGAACGAGGCAGACGACGGCGGCGCTTCTCGTTCTCGCCTTCGCGGGAGAATTCTACATCCCCAACTCCAGCGCCGTCTGGCACGCGACAGAAACGACGACGAGATGCGACTCCTGAACCAGAACCTGTGAAAAATCCGTTCTGCGAGCCACCTCCACGGACACGGCCCAGCGAGTATCTGCGACGGCGCTGTCCTGCATGTTTTGGCGCTTTGGCGCACGATCCCTCGGCAACGTACGTGTTTGTCGCTCATGATACACACCACTTATTAACTGAAATTCTGCAGGGTGGATGTATTCGTCTGCGTCGATGCCTGCTTCATGCAGAAGAGGAACACCGGCGCTCCCGATCCACCCAAAACCCATCCGGGTACACACTTCATCTCGGAGACGCTAAGCACCAAGATGGAGGAATACGTGGATGGCGTGTGCAACACAAAGCCCAGCGCCAAGCACCCTCGCCGTGCGACGGTGGAAGAGGTGGCGGACGACGGGGAGGACGACTACGAACACCCGGAGCTGCTCGTACCGTGTTCGGTGCTGGATGGCTGCGAGGCGTCCTTCAAAGCCGCAGATGAAAGACGCGTCAAGGCGAGCACCCAGTTCTACGACGACACCGCGCTCATGGCACTGCTATGCCGCCACGACCGCGTCTTATGGCTGGTGAACATGCATTCCGCGGGGGAGAAGCAATTCTATGTGCTCCTCCTTCTCGAGACGTTGTTCCAGCACCTGCCGCTCGCGATTACGATCGGCCTTCTCTACGACGTAGCGTGCCAACTAGAACGGTCAGCCCGTAAGTGGGGTTTCCTGGACCGGTATCTGCATCGCCTGATCTTCGCCGTCGCTGTGTTCCACGCGTTTGGACATGAATGGGGATGTCAAATCATCTATCATCCGAGGAAGCGAGTGGGATTTGGGTTTACAAACGGGGAGGGATGTGAGCGGTTCTGGCATTCTATCAGCCACCTCATCGCGCACTTGCGCGTTTCCAGCGTATGTGCAACTCCAGCTTAAATATCCGCCCTGGACTTACATCGTCTTTACAGTATCACCACCGACTTTATACGCTCGATACCCAGGTGGAACACGCTGATGAAGCTAATTTATTCAAGCTCGCCGAGTGGAATCATCGTCGAGCACTCCACAGTACCGCAAAACGCGTGGAAGCGCAGAAGACGCTCAAGCAATCCGGCCATGCATTGCCGTTGTTATGAGCGCAATGGGCTCAGCAGGTGAAGGCTCAGACAAAGCCTATTGCGCGTAAGGGTACCTTGCGCTGGTGTGAAACGCTGGCTGATTTTTGGTTTTTCATCCGTGCAGGTCGCTCCAAGACTCGGGGACAGAAAGCGGTCGCCGCCGTATTGGCCTCGCGCGATGCCACCGCCATTCGAAAATCTCAAGTCCAGGACTGTGAAGCGGCAGCATTGGATGCCGTGGACGCGGAGGATACTGACGCTATTGTTCAGACGAGGGTGGCATTGGCAAAAGCACAAGAAGCTCTGGGGAAAGCGAAGGATCGTCTACAGCGTCAGGAGCTCGCACTCAGGGTGGAGGACAAAGTGGCCTTGAAGAACTTGGCCAAAAGCAAGTACTTCGAACTGCGGATGAATGCTCTAGTGCTAAAAACTCGTCTGCGAGACTGACTACGTGCACGCAAGTTCGAGCGGGATCGGGTGGAGCGCTCCTCGCGTCGTCAGCAAGCGTCGGGTATGTGGTCCAATTGTACTTGTGCCTCCTTACTGACGCATCTGACAGAACACAAACTTCTTACTCATACGGAATCAGCTGTGAAAAGGCGCGAACCTCAAATCTCACGCTTGAAAACCGACTACAACAAGCTGTGCGACGCCATCGCGGTCGAAATCCGGAAAGGACGCGCTCCGGCGAGGGCCATTGCTCCGGAGCGTATCAAGACAAAGGCATTCTCTGGATGTTGATGACGCCATCTGGCAAGACGCCGGTCTGCAAGGGGACGAGGAGGTCGAGGTGCTGCTGTGGCTCAGCAGTGACACTGTGCGCAGCGGCATACGGGCGATGTTAGAGTTGGATCGCGCCAATGAGGAAGACAAGATCCTCACCAAGGAACGCCAGGCACTGCGCGCGTGGTTTGCAGAAGAATGGACGATCGTCAACGTAGCTATGGACCGTGCAGGTGCGTTACTTGGCAATCCGTGCGTGCTAATTACTAACAATGGAGCTAAGCAGAAAACGAGGAGTCCCGTTATCAATTATTCTTCCGTCGCGAGCGCCTGCTGCGCTTGTGCGCGACGTGGCGGTGATTTTTGCCGATGGAGGCGGCGGGGGATACACCGTGGGGACCGAGTGAAGAGGAATTGTTGGGGGTGATCATCGATAGCGGGAAAGCGGGGCGAGGGGAGGACGGATATCAGGCCGCTGATGGGGACAGTGAGGAAGAACTGGAGGACTTCGACGCGCTCGGGACTGCGGACGTGTACCGCGACGCGTACAGCGGTGGCCGAGCAGACAGCGATACCAGTAGCGGTAGCGGATCGGACTCGGAATGATTAATTACTTGTTGGTTATGCCACGTATAGGTGGCCTTCGCAACAAAGCGCCGACGCTAATAGTGCCGATCGTTCATGGGTAGCTTGAGCTAAAATGGTAAGTCTGGCAACACAGAACTCCACCGCATTACTTATAAAGAGCAGGACCGATTGTGGCACGCCACCCCCCCTCCCATGCCTGCTGCACGCCGTCACCGTCATTCGCCCAAGAAGCAAGCGCCAGCGCCCAAGCATCTGTTACCTCGCATTACCAACCCGTACGCTCCGCCTCGCCCTTTCATCGAGTCGGCGGAGCTCGAAGAAGAAGAACCGGAGCGCATCCTGCACAACCGCAAGGTACAGAGGCTCCTGAAGCGCCATGGTGAGCACATTTACATTGGTCATCTGGCTGCAGCGCTGACGCTGGTGTCAGACAAGGCAAAAGAAGCCAATGCGTCCATCGCGTGTGAGCGCGATCGAGATGAGGCCAACTGGAAGACCTGGGTCCCGTACGACGACGCATGTGAGTGATATGTTCGACTCGCGATGCCACGGACGACTGACATGTTTATAAGTGGAAGACTACGAGAATAAATATGGCAAGTTCGTGCCTGACGCTGAGAACGCGGCGTGGTTTGCCAGGAAAGAACCTCAGGTTGCAGAGTTGATGGTCCTAAGGCACCGTGCGGGTGAGTCCCTAGTTTTGGATGGAGCGCAGCGGTTTTTCGTCAACACTGTTTCCCAGGGAAAGTCCGCCGCCATGATCATCCAGATATGTTGGCGTATTTCGCCGCTGGTACGTACTTATCGGGTGTACGGCTTTCCTGGTGGCTCATTTAGATATCGCATTCTCATAGCGCATGTGTTTGAAGACGATTTTGGCCACGCATTTTCGTGCGGTGACGGACTGGACGACCACTTCAAGCAAATGGAGTCGCACACCATTACCGCGCATGCGCTCAAGACTTATTATACCGCCGAGGAGGTTGAAGAGGTACTATCCACACCTCTGGAGTTCACCATCCGCAATCCCTATTACGACGACGACTTGAAGCGCAATCGCTTTGATGCCATTTGTATGTCGCCCACGTTCAGTACGTTCCATCGAGGCTGACCACAGTGCTCAGTTGAAGAGATCGCCGCATCCAGCCAGGACTCCTGCCATCATTTCTCACTGCGCATGCTGGACGGCGACGCGGATGCTCCGGATTGGCACGAGTGACGTCTCGAGCAACATTACAAACGTATGTTATGATTTTTTTTTCCCCCGAGGCCGTATACTGAAAGAAATGTCTCAGGCGTGTGGATTCGCGACTTGCTCGAGGAGATAGAACGCCACCATTTTGAGGCATGGAGCGACACGGTGGGGGAAAAGCGGTTCAACGTATGCTCGCCTTTTGTGAAGCGCCCGTCCCTCTGGTAGAATACTTGTTGTTTTCGATGAAATTTTAATTATAAATTTAATCGCCCGGCGGACTTAGATACCGGCCAATCGGCCATGCCTCCATCAACACCATGGGTGCGTATGGTCCATTTGATCGAGAGATGCAAAGTCTGACCCGATTAGGACACAATGGCAGGTGAACCAAAAGCGTGCAACAATGGGCTCCGCCACGAAAGGAAAGGCCACCCACTGGCGTTGGTCTATAAAGTGCGTCCTAGTTTTGCTCCAATCCTCATCAACCTAAAACCCAATCTGAAGCCCTCTACTACATCATGTCTACTGTTTCGAAAGCCCGCCGCTCTCGCAAGTCCTTGCCCGCCTTGCCCTGCTCCCCCTTTAATCAAACACTCCGCCGACCCAGTGCTAAAAAGCCCCAAGCGCCTTCAATTCCCCCCATCGTTGCCCAGGCGTTAGCCACAGTGCCCGCCTGCAGTGAGTCGGCGCCCTCTATTTATAATTTTGTTCCCGAACTCATGTTATGATACAGTGTTCTATGGCCATTACAGTAAGTTCTGTCATTATCCGTTGTTCTTGAGAGCTTTGATTTATTGAGCCAGCTTACTTTGATCCTGAGCAATCCCAGTACAGCTCCGGAGTACGCCCCACGTACAACTTTTCCGCCGATGAAGGTTATGAACACTGGTAAGGTGTTGACTGGCACCGCTCTACTGAGTGCTGAACTAATGCATCACCAGGGCCTCAAAGTCAACATCAAATCATTGAATTGATCGTGGAAATATGTAGTTTAGTTTTGTATCGCTGTGTTGCAATTATTTCCTTTTTCGGCTGCTAGCGGTTGTTTGTTTGGTGAACTTCGGCATCTCGGCATCCAGGGATAACACCGACAAGTCATCAACATACAAAAATGAAGGAAATAAAATATTTTTGTTATGTTTTCGCTATGGAAAAATAAGGACTGTGGACATGTAGAAAAGGACGGCCTCAGTCGGATGAGAAAAACCCAAAAAACGATGCCGACGATTCAAGGCCATAGTGGGGCTCGAACCCACGCCAGGGACTACACCTCTTTGAGAGCTTATCAAGAGTCCGCACTATAACCACTAAGCTATATGGCCATGGAGAAAAGTAAGTTCGGAATTGATTATTAAGGTGAACTGATTAGGTAAGGACAGTTACTCATTTACACCAAGGAAACACATCTAGCTAGTGCTACTAGGAATTGAGGCTACACATAAAAATAAAATGTGAGGAAACCTAAGTGAATGTTAAAGTCAATGTGAAGGTTTGATGAAGTAAGTACAAATAAAACAATTGTATGGGAGCTCCCAAGAGGATGGCGGCAGGCTACAGGAGCTCCCGGCTGAGACAAACACCTGCGGCGGGAGCACCTGTGAATGGGAGCAAAATGGCGGGAGCTCCCGGCTGAGACCAACACCTGCTGCGGGAGCACCCATGAATGGGAGCAAAATGGCGGGAGCTCCCGGCTGGGTAAACATCTGTGGCGGGAGCACCCGGGAAGGGCACGAAACAGTGGGAGCACCCGCCCAGGTTAACATCTTCGGGCGGGAGCACCCAGGTGGTAATATGACGGGTGCTTCCGTACCTGCATTGGGAGCATCCGGGGAAGACAGTCGGGAGCACCCATGTCAATGGGCGGGAGCATCCACCACCCAGTCTGGGAGCTCCCATAGCTGCATTGGGAGCATGGGCGGGAGCTTCCGCCACCCACTAATGGGAGCTCCCGTACCACTCTGTACCACTCACAGCAGGGGCTCCCGTCACTGGTGGTGAATAGTTCCAGAGCAGTAAAGGAGTTGTTCATGTTGCATGCTGAAGTACTATCAGAGTGATAAACAGTAAAAGTGACTGTTGTCAGAACGTGAGCTGGAATACCAATGAAGCTCACCATACACAATGGATCTGCGAGTAGGATGACGGTCAACTTGTAGTCAGTAGCCCAGGATGAAATTCAATATTGGATAGAATAAAGTGAATATGGTTATATGGACCTATACGCCAGTAATGAGGGCTGCTGAGCTTTCCCAATATGCATACATCCATGCCTTTTTTCTGGGTGCGGTAATGGAAAGGCGAACATAGCATGGCAGTTGAATGTCTACCATGTATGCACTAGGCACTCGCTGCTGTCACCGATCCCCCAGCAAGTGGAGGGATTTCGGCAGCATAGCATACAGACATATAGGGATGGACATGTTGCTTGCAGGATATGCAATAGCTGCGACCATCATGACAGCTGGGGGGTGTATTTTTTAGAGCCCAAACAGCCCTACCAAGGCCCCCCAAAATTGCATTTTTCCCCCCACCCACAGTGCGGGGATGCACTGACTGCTATGTGTATATACACAGTAAATAGTCTTGATAGCTGGGCCCACCATGGGCTGGCCAGGGGGCCTAAAAAGCAGCCTGTGCAGTGCAAAATAGCTGCTACGGCAGCCCTGAAATCGGATTTTTTCCCCCCGCACGTAGCGCGGGGAATGGTGGGTATATGCCCACTAAATAGCTTGATAGCTAGGCCCACTGTTGGCCAGCCAGGGGGCACAAAACTGCAGCCTGTGGAGGGCAAAAATCCCAAAAAAATCCCCTGCAGGGCTGGTTCCGGGAGCACCCGGTGGGAGAAACACGCTGGGAGCACCCAGTCAGACAGCTCTCTGGGTGTTCCCACACCACAGTGGATGGGTGCTCCCGCCCGCATGGGTGTCACACTATAGCTGGGACCCCTTTGGGGTAGTCATCTGGGAGGGGCACAACTACCCTACTATGGGTCATATATATGTCTGCCTGAAGTGCAGCCGGGGATCAATCTGCCCGCAGGTTGGGACACGATCAACTGGGGGAAGATGCCAGAAGACTTGAGGTGGGTTGGATCATTAACGAGAATGGTGTGGGCTGAAACTGGATGCCAGATACAAATACTTCTTGTTTCTCGCCCAAGATTGCAATTTTCGGTTGATAAATTGCAACATCTCCTCAGAAGCGAAGGACCCCATCCTGAATGATGGCATGGGTTACTTTGTGAATTACTCGAAGTATTTGGCCTGGCTGCGCGAGCACGTCTCGGAGGAGGAGATATCAAGCTGCTCCGGATTTCAAGCGATGTTTTTAGCCAACCACAAACGCGTCAAGGGGTTGCGGACGAGTGGCGTGGGTGGAGTGACGTGCGCTCGGCACAACATGTGGCGGCCGAATGGCATCAGGGACTTGCAAGTGGGGGAACAGTGCGTAGGATTATTTCCTCTTGAGAGTTCTTGTGCTAAGCCGGGGAACGCAGATACTGTAATATGGACTTCATATTGTTTTCGGCGCTGCTGAACACGATAATTTTTTACCTGATCCTGTCATACGACATCGCCTGCCAATATGGGAAGAACTTCTGGTCCCGCATGGAGGCGCTGCCGGCACCATTCCACATTTCGGTGTCGAAGCTGCGCGTATGGTTCAAAGTCCCGAACTTCCATCTCCTCGGCCACAAGGACGCGTGCCACTCGGCGTTCTCCTTCCATTGGATGTGGGGCGCAGGACGGACACATGCTGAGACCGTTGAGCAAAACTGGGAATTCACGAATGGGGTGGCGTCGTCAACGAAAATGATGGGGATGGGATCGCAGGCAACGACGCTGGAGGATATGTTTGGGTTCCACAATTGGAGGCGGATGGTCTCGTGGCGGGGAATCTTCATGAAAAGGATGGGGGAGGACGTGAGGGAGGGTAGGGTTCACAGGGAGGCGTTCGACGCATTCACTTTGGCCCTGCAGGAGTCGGTACCGGACCTGGTGAAGTCTTGGCAGGTGTGGGTTGCGGAGTGGGAGGCCAAACAGCACATGGACTCGACGGAGTCGCCCTTTGACATGAGCAAGAAAGGTAAGCTTATGCAATGTATTTAGTTGGCTAGCACTGACCGGGGAATGCCCAGTGTACACTATGAAGGATATTCGGCTGAAATTAGCGAAGGAGGAGCTTATTCGGAGCAGAGCGGGCGTGGAAGTTGAGCACGAGGATACCGCGGGCACATTCATCCTTATGGGTTTGGAGATTGAGCAATCACAGTACGTTTTCGACATTTTTTGTTTTGGCATTGCAAGGTGCTAACAGAAGGACAGACGACTACTGGCTATTGATGTTAGGGCTCTGTCACATCCAACGATGCACAAAACACCGACTTCATCAAACGCCGAGCCGCGGTCCTGCGACGTATCCGGGGGTTCCGCAAGCTGCAGAAGCAGTACATGCCGAACCTCCAGACGTATCTGTCGCAGTCGCAACAGGGGGTGTGGGACAATCAGGGGGTGCGCGAGGCAGAGGCGGTGCGCCTGTTCATGCCGTCGGATATTGCAGACAGCAAGAAGCGTGATCAAGCGTGTGCGGTGGGTCTGCCGACAGTCGAGGAGGAGCTACGCGAGGGGGAGGCGCACGAATCGCTGGAGGAGCTGCGTCAGGCGTTGCACACGCGGACGATGATGAATCGCTTCTGAGTGCGCAATCTGACGGGGCAGCAGGCACTGACGCGGGGGCAGGGTGTCCTGCAGCAGATAAACGTCCGGATCCACAAGGCTAAACTCTGCTACCGCTATGCACGGAACGCGGTGCTACGGCTGCGGGGGCATGGGCCGTGGGAGAAGGTGCTGCAGGCATTGGAGGATAAGGACATCCGGGCGCTCAACGAGCATGCAATGACGGAGGAGGAGGTGGCACGAAGACAGGTGCTCAAGGAATTGGGGGAGGTCGTTGAGGGGGGAATAGAGGAGTTGGAGGCGCGCACGGGAGGGGAGACGCAGCGGACACTGTCGTGGATTTGGTACACGGCCAAGCCGACTGATCCTGAGGAGCAGGAGCTTGTGGAAGGTACGCCGCTTGATTGGCTGTGCGCAACACTCGCTGACAACAACAGCAGCGCTCCGCGTGGAATGGTGTAAAGCTTACGCCTGGTTGCGCCGCTGGACCGAAGACGTAGTGCTGGTGGAGGAGGAGATGCGACAGACGATTGAGTTTGGGTACTGGGCTGCGGCCGAGTGGCAGCTGCGGGCGAGCAGGAGGACCGGGGAGGTCAGCAAAGAGGTGCGAGAAGGGTTGGTGGCATACGCACGGGAGCAGAGCAAGCGGGAGGTTGACACCTGTGAGAAATTGCAGACGCAGTGGGCGGGGATCAGGGCGAAGGGACAGGTGTATTTGACGGGCGAGGCACTCGCTACGGTGGAGGAAGTGGTGATTCCGTTGGAACAGGAGGAGGAGCGGGAAGAGGAGGAGGACCTAGGCCGCGACGAATTCGTGGACGATGACGATGAGGAGCTGGAGGACGACGACTAGAGAGGGCAGGGAATGATGAGGCCGTGGTCGGATGTCGAGATGGTGAATTTGATGGGCTTGCAGCGATGTTAAGATGTAGTTTGGCAGCGCCCCGGCTGCCGGGCGTTGTTGGTTGACGGATACGGCGGATAAGCAAAGAGATATGTTTTGATGCAGGTGATGCGAGGGCGGATTTTGATGGCTCGTAATATTTTACATCAATGCCATCAGAAATGGGCAGCAAACAGGAATATATAGTGATCGCTAGATAAAGGCTTGTCCGAATGCGTCCTAGGGCAGCCTTGACGGCCGCATTGCATTGTACCTATAACTGTCCGGGCAGTGGGAGGCCCTCTACATTGCAATGCTGCTGTGGCTAGCAGCCCAGTACATTGCAATGTGGGTGCTTTTCTTGTACGTCGCAGAGCGCGTGCCTATCATTTACAAGGGCCCACCGTCGACGATTGTGCCCGGCAAAGCGCGCACTGCTGTTCCTGAGTCGGTCTCTGCGCCTGCCGCCCCAGCCTCTGGACCTTCGCGAGTCGAGCCCGCCATTCGTGCAGCTCGCAACCAAGTCACGAAGAATGGCCCTTGCTCGAGGGGCGTCAGCAAGTTCGCGCCGCCTCGCAAGAAGGTTGCCAAGAAGGTTACCCCCCGTCCTCGACCCTAACGTCACACCGCCCAGACGCTCCAATGTCGCCAACAACCTCCCTACAACCTCGCGCGCGTGGACCCGTATGCGCAAGCGCGCCTCAGCGCCCTCTATCGCAGAGACTGGTCGACGTGATGAGCATGACGAGGATCTGGTGCATGA